ATTCTCATAATTTACCCAATTTACAAGGAAAAAAAACCAAAACAACACTTTTTAAAAAGCTTGGCACTCATTTAGCTGTAGGCAAAACAGCCCTTATTTAGAAGGTCTCTTTCTAGACTGTGTATGTCCTTTTCAGGATGGTAGATCCCTGGGGAATTCCCCCTCATACAAATTCCTTCTCAGCAGGCAGAGAGAGCAGCTAACACGCAAAAATGCCTGGAAGGAGTAGCTCATCACTGTGTTTGAGTGACAGCATGTAAACCATTCATTCTCTGCTGTCTGCTGGTATTTCAGCTCTCTGATTGGGATTCTGCTTCCCCTCCAGTCTGGCCTCTTCTTGTCTGTTTGTTTTGCTATCGTTTGTACAAAGATCATCAGATGCAAGTACATTTGACATATGGAGATAACAGTCAGGAAAGGAAACAACATATGGCAGACAATTCATATCCATCAAGATCTGCCATAAAACCATTTTTAGCAATAGAAAAAGAAGGGCGGAAAAAGATAGCAACTTCGAATTTAAAATAACCATGATACTCTAACAAAGAGGAGGGCCTAGGGCTTGCTTTGCTAGATGACACCTCTGGTTCACTGAGGCCAGCAGCAGTTGACACTCTGTGCTTCAACAGTAGACTAAAATCTTCTGCAGCGCATTGGCCGATTACTTTTTGACCATCATGGCTGATTAGTGACTTGTTTCAAAACCCTGATGGAAGCTTGATGGAAATCTTGACTGTTTAGTCAATTGAATTGTTACCTTGGAGTACTCCTGAGGTAACTCCTGTTTATTCCGGGTCTGTAGGAGTGAGGGAAAAGGCAACATGACATGTGTGCTAAAGGGTGAGTAGTCCTGGAGAACCCATTGTGGTCCTGCTGTCCTCCTGTATCTCTTTTGCCTTGTGACAGCATCACATAAGGGACTATGCAGATGGGATTGTCCAAGTCCTTTCCAGCAGGTCGCTAACATTGCCTGCTAGAAGGGTGGCTAGCATTTGTATGCAGCATGAGTTCAGGCTGTAGTCAAATGATGTGCAAGAGTGTTTAAATATATAGCACTGGGTCTCAGGAATACTCCTGGGATCAGGGTGCTTACCTATGGTAAGTTGTGAATGTATCATACTAGAAACATGTCACTCAATTTCTTTACTAAAAAAAAAAAGTCGATACTTTAATTTTACTGAATTGAAATGAAAGCCCTTTTTGGCTGGAGAGGAGGGTTCTGATATGCTCTGTCTGTTTGAAACACAGCTGTATTTGAGTTAATGGATTCTCGTATACTGAAAAGTTTTAAAGGAATGATGATTCTTCCAGGGTAGAAAAATACTGTGTATGTCACTAATATACATCATATTTAATAGTAATAAATGGCATCTGTTCAGTAAGCCACAACCATTTTTCACCTGGGGAACATGGCCTTTCACCAAAGAAAGTGGCCTTTTACTTTTGTTTGGTTTCAGCTATGGCATCTCCAGTTTGCTGAAAGGAAAGAGCAACCTAAAGCTCCTTCTCATGAAACCAAAATCTGAAGAGTAGAAGAAAAATAGCCACAATATAGTGAGATACGTTCAGAGAGGTTGTGCTCACAGTCCTTTTTTCCTGATGATCTTTCACATAATTTTCAGTGTGACCAACCCCTGTTCTCCTCTGCGAATTGCTCTCCCATCTGATATTTACTCTGCTCCAGGTGAAGAACAGTTGAGCTGTGACAATGGGGCTTGGTGGTATGACATCTCTGGAAGTGAAGTGATAGCTAATTTTGTTGGAGGAAGAAATGAAAGCTCTCTAAAATGGAAAAGGCCTATTGGATGATTCAGGAAATCTGGGTACGAATGGAATTTTTCAACCTTATCCATGGGCTAAATGTGCTTTACTGAGCAGTTACAAGAGAGCAAAGCTAGGCCAAGTGTATCTTCCATTCCTGTCTGGGGAGGATGAAGCCATTGCCTGGTCTAATAGGGTGTTAAAGTCCAGCCCTACCCAGAGCCTTGTCATAGAATCAGAATAAGGAGGTTTTGTTGTTGCTGGGCATGGTAATTCTTTACAGGTGCCAACTGGAAGGGTTTAAAATGCAAAATGGCATTTCAATGTTTAAGAATAGCAAGTAATTTGATGGCTGTAATAGAAAAGCTTCCAGTCCTTTAGCAATGTGTTCCAGAGCTGCATAACACTGCTGATAAAATTGCCTTTGGATTCCTTGTCTAATATTCCAGCCTTTCTCTCTCTCAGCAAAACACAATAGCTTGCACTAAGCCTCCCTGGGAGGGCAGCTAACAGCACATTTACTAGACACTTCAAACATTTGATCATATTTCTCCTGAGTGTATTTAATATCTGTTAATGTCAGCAGCCCCAGCCTGATCGAAATACCTGCATTGCTGGGAAAATGTTTAATATAAAAAATGACACGGGTAAGCAATCACTTACTGATGTCTTTTGGAAATGGATAGGTGACTACCTAACCCCCCTACCTCGCTCCCCTCCCTGCTCTGTTACCACCCTGCTGCTGTTTGCTTCTCTGAATGCATTAGAGTGGCTATTCTGAGTATGCAGGAGATGCCAGGAATAGTTTCATGTTTCCTGCCTCATCAAACCAAATTCAATCTGTAAAAAATTAATACACCCAGAAGGAACAGTTAAAAGCATCTCCAATCAATTAATGTTAAAATGGGAGCTAGGAGGCTGATTTGTTAAAGGAAACCCAATCCAGCTCAGTGCTTGAGAGGCTGCTGGGGCAAGAGTACAGTCAGCGAGTTAAGTCATAATGTTTCCAAGGGGGAAGCAAAAACGGTTTAGGCTAAAGATATCAATGCGTTATTCCAACTGTTCACTGCTTCAGGCTTAGGGACCCTAAAAGATGCACTGTTTTGGGCTGGGCAAGAAGCATCAGCAGAGAGAGTCTTTCCATAAGGGAATGGATGGCACATGCCCAGCTCTCTGCACTGGACATCTGTGTTTTCTCTTTCTTCCCAGAAGGAGCTGCAATGGGAAATGCGAGGATGCAGCCAACATCCTTGAGATCTGAATACTTACAGTAGCTTTGTGTGTCAAGATGAAATTTGGTGTGCCATCCCTTTGGCCTGTGGTCTTAAGAACTGGAAGTCAAAAAAGATGAAAGAGGGTTTTGGGGTTTTTTGTTGTTGTTTTCCCTGATTTCTGAGCCTCTCTTACATGGAAGAAAAGACTCATACCATCTCTTGACTGCAGAGCTTGAAGCTTTAAGCTGCAGTTTGAGAGGCACATGGGGAAAGCTGCAAGAACTGGCAACAAAGGTTCTCATAGTGGACTTAAACAGAAATCCCAGTAATTTTCACAGAGAAGGATTAAATCTGCAACTCTTTGCTGTCTCCTACGTGAAAGGCCAGTCCTCATAAAAGTGATAACTGAATTCTACTTTTTTTTTTTTTTTTTTTACCTCAAATGCTGTCAGATTGTTTCCAAAGTGTAGAAAAGTTCCAAATTATGTCTGAATTCAAATTCAAATGAAACATTCAAGCATTTTTCTTGCTATGTGGCCTCTTAGAGGAAGAAAAAAAAAAAAAAGGTGGGTACACAACCAGCTGAAGCCTATTGTTATTTTGCCTCTGATTAATGTAGGTCACACTTTTCTTCCTTGCAGCTATTAAGTATTTAGGTCCATTTATACTTTAATCCCTTGTCTTTTTCCTGTTTCTTTGTTGCTGTGTTACATCCTCACAGTCAGATAGCATTGAGATAAGTGGTAGAAAAATGGGAAGAGGGAGTTAACGCAGTAATCCAGCTTTGAAATAATAAAAAAAAAAAAATTGGCCTGAGGTAAGTGCTTGAATCCAGAGAGCTTACTGAAGGCAGAAGGAAGAGAGAGGAAAAACAAATGGGGTAGGAGAAACTGAGGCATAAAGAGAGTAGAGATATTGTGCAAAAGGACCTGAGTCAATATCAGGGTGCTGTACTTGAATGCCGTTCTTGTGAGAAAGATTTAATGGAAATGCATTTCTCTGAGCGTTGACCAGATGAGCCTGGGCTAGGAATAAAGGAGGTCTACTGAAAGCTATGATAGTGTTGCTTGGGTGTAAGTAAGTAGTTTAGCTGGTGCTGGAGTTATGCTGTTCATTGGGCAACTGTGCTCAGGAAGAGCTCCCGCATTCCCCTTTGTCCCTCTGAACAGGAGCCTCGTCCCTGAGAAATGCATCCAATCCATTCACAAATCTTTGCTTCTGAGGTTTAGAGCACGTTGTGGGCTAGATCTTTTCTGAGCACTATGTTCTTTGAAGGAAATGATCTCATCCAAGCTCGCTTTTTCTGCAAAAGTTTTGATACGATGAACTTCTGAGGCCTTTTCTAACCTGGGCTGTTCTGTGATTCTGTGGAAGTTGCAGACACTAGCACCAGCTCTGATTGCAGAGAGGAAGAATCTGTCTCCTAATTGAATTTAAACCATCACCTCTTCTATTTTCTTCTTTATTTTACGTAGAAGGTAACAGCAACTTCCCCTCCAGTTAAATCGGAGGAAACCATAGCTAAAGAACATGGATAAAAACAATTGAGATATTTTTATGTTCTCTATAAGAAGTTTACAGAGAAATATAATTATTGCTCTCCTCTGTCAATAACTGGGCATGTGGCTCCACAGTGCCCTAGGTTACACTTCTGGTTCTTTGCTGTTTGAAAGCCAAAATCAATTTCCCCATGAGATTTTGAAAACAAAAATACAAATTTAAGGAGACTTCTTGGACCTCGTGTTTTCTTTGCCACAACAGATATAAACTGGATTTTGCTGAACAGAAAGCATTTTTATTTCCTTTATCTGGGTCTGGGCAAGAGGAATGATGTTGCTGCAGCCAGGGTATAGGAGACTGCATGACTCAGCTGTGTCCTACACTGGCATACAATAAAACACAGCATGGTGCAGCTTTAATTTTAATTCAAAATAAATATTTCCGTAGCCTACAGAATTCCTTTAATACACTTATCTGGGAGAACACAAAGATTAAAGAAATCCCGCTAATTCCTTTATCTTTCAGATACAGGGCTGAAAACAAAGACGTTCAAACCTTGAGCTAAATAGAAGAGGAAGAAGCCAAAATCTGTGCCAGAGGTTTGACTGCTGGGTTTACTCATAGCTTCAGGTAAGCTTCTTTCCCCGGATTGTTTAGCATTTCAGAGGCCCTCTGTGCTCCTCAAGGAGAGCTGTGGATTACAGGCATAAAACCTTTGCATAGCTCACAGCCCAGGCAGAGGGAGAACAAACAAGCTAATCCAGGGTGCCTTCCAGTCCTGCATCCTGCCTCTGACCCTGGACGGCACCACCTGCTTCAGAGGAAGATGTAAGAACCTCACAGCAGGCAGATGCAGGGTAATCAATCCTTTCAGCCTTGTTCTCAAGCCCCATTAGATCTCATCCTGATCCCTAAATAGTTTGAGCTTGGATTAAACCTTGCAGTACAGTATTTAATACACTCTGAAAATTGGTGTTATCATTAACTCCCATGACTCTGGAAACTAATGTTATTCCCACACAAATACATTTTCATTTTGAATCTTTCTATGTCCTTGGTCTGCTACAGCAATGCATACATAGGTTTAAATGCCTCTTTGCAGAAAGTATTTAATGTTCCTTTATATCTGTGGTTATTTCCCTGTGATTATTTGCTGTGTGTCCCTGTTACAAACCTTTTGAAGAAAGGAATGGGAATAAACAGTATACTCTAAAGATGACACATTTCTTCCATCACAGTGTGGAAAAAAACGTCTCAGGGATATGTTCTTTCTGCAGCCTTAGCATCACTTTGTTAACTTAGAAACAGAGAGAGGCTTTGCACCACTCCCAACCCTAACCCTACCCCAGACCTTAATCCAGGCTGCAGACCTCAGCTGCTTTTGTTTCAGCTTTTCTAGTCATAGTTAGGATGAGCAAGTTCTCACAGCAGAACTATTTTTGCAGTCTGTCCCTTGCCAGCCTCTTTCCAGCACCCATCCAACTACAGCAGTAGCTCTTGCCTCTCTCCCAACACCTAACCCTTCCCCTTGCCCTGTTTGTTAGCACAGCCTCCCCAAAGACATTTTGGACATGTAAAGATTGTCAGTGAAAATGCATTTGCAGTCTCCCTCTTTGTTTGGCATCTCCTTTGGCTCCCCTTTATCTACAAATCTTCTATTGTTAGCTGAAACCCTGTCTGTTTTTCTCATCTCCTGCTCTTTTCCTAGAATGCCTTCTTAGTATCTTCCTTGAATATGATTTTTTTTTTTTTGCTAGTCATAACCCTATTTATCTCATGCAGTAACTCTAAGGAACATCTTAGGAACACTTTAGAGCCTATGAAGAGATGTTATGTGTGTCAGTTCAGCTTGGTCTGCGGTGCTTACATAGAATAGCTCAAACACTTTTTTTTTTTTTATTTATTTCTAACTCAGTTTGGCTCTCCACTATCATTTGTGCACATAGTGTATATGAATATATCTATGGTGATGTCCTGAATTATGTCGTAGTGTTACCTACGTTATATCTCCATACCACCTGTTGTACAGCATCCTCTCCCTAGTCCCATCTGTTTACCACTCCTCCGCCTTGCTCTATGTCCTTTCTTCTTCTCCTTCTTATAAAATTGCAATCTTTCTCTTTCCTCCTATTCCCTCTTTTCTTCTCCTCTCTCCTTCTTGGTGCTCTGGGCTGGGACAGGGGCTAAGGAGCATCCAAGAGACCTGTGTGTATATGCGTGAAATGCAGAGGAGGACCTTCCAGCATGAACCCGCACTGTGAGCCATGGGGAAGAGGGAGGTGGGCAGGGGAGGTGTTGCCCTGCTGTAGGGGCACTATGGTGGCATTCTGCACCAGAAACACTGGGCATGTCCTGCCATGGAGATGAGCTGTACAACAATTTAGGAGCACTGATTGTGAGATGCTTTTCACAGGTATAGGAGGAGCATGCTGCAGGGCTGAGGCCAAGGCAGATACACCATGATGCACAGCCCTTTGATGGCATCTGAAATTCCCATCTCTCACCCAGTGTTTCAGCGTTGCTGTTTTGCACTGACCAGTCATCTCTTTGTCTAAGATCTTCCTGATCTCACCCATCTACAAAATTGGTTTGGTGCTGTTTTTGTTACTTCAGCTGAATCCCTTTTGAGACCATTCACAAACATGAGTAAATTAAACAGTGTGGGATCCTGGGTGAAGCCTTGAGGCTTATGATGTTTGCTAAGGTGAAAATTAGGCTGTTTAATAATGCATTTCTTTGGACTTTCCTCTTCTGTAATGTCTCATCCAAAATATATTTTACCCCTTCCCTAGTGATGTCTTAATTTCTGTATTTTCTCTGTGCCATGTTTGCTCAAAAGCATTTTATCAGTCTGAACAAGTCATGACTTTCCTCTTAACACAGCAAATTCTGAGAGATCAGTGAAACAATTTTGTTTTCTGTGGGCATCATGCTAAACTCTATTTTCTTCCCGTTCTTAATGTTATTTTCAGGGAAGAACGGGTAATATATTCTGACCAGAGGTAGCTCTGCAGACTCCAAAAACCTATTCCTATTACAGTGCTGATCACGCCATCCCTTAGCACTACCAGGCTTTTAAATGAGATCGGTAGTAATTGAAAGAACATGAGAAAGGGCAGATTTCAAGAGCTTAGGGGCTGATTTGCCAAACAGATCAGTACTCGTACCTGGGAGTAGAGGCTCACAAACCTGTTTGGAAATCTGACCCAGGTCTGTGCAGTGACACCTCTTAACAAGCTGGTGAGTCTTCATGGCACAGTGTGGCCCTATGCAGATAACACTCAGCTCCCAGAGATCCGATAGATCTTTCTGGACCCAGCAAATTAGCCCTGCTGCAGAGTAAGGCAGCTTCACTGCTATTTTCCTTGCACTCTGGGGGATAGCTGGAACAGAATTAACTGCATGATCTTTGCCCTGTTCATGGTTTCATGAAGCAGGTAACTTTATGCTTTATGCCTATTTTTGCCATCCGGAAGCTCAGAGAAAGTGCTTCTGGGGGTGTACAAGCTCATCCCCAGTATCAGACAATGAGAAGCCTTCTTTCTGCAACCCCTTCTGCATGGATTAAACCCCCGCATGGATAGCTTCCCTTGTCAGCCAGCGGAGGTGCTGAGTGCCCCAGGCACTCATCAAAATTCCTCCTGCCTCTCACAGCTTCTGTCACCTTCAGGAATGTGAGACCTCTCAGATCAGGCCATTAATCCTGCTTCTCCCAGTGGAGTATGGCTTGTCTGGTGGAATGTGTTTCATTGCAACTGGTTCTTCAGGATGTTGTGACTGACAAAGCAGACTTTGGCTGCACATGTGGATAGCTGGGATCCTGCTACTACCTAACTCTATTGATCTGTTATTGAGTTCAACACTAACTGCTGGTGTAGCTCTGAAGAAGCTCAGCCTCTGCGGGCAGCTGGGAAGAAAGGCAGCCTCAGAAGGGAAATAGGTGCTCCACCTCATCATAGAATAACAGAACGTTCCAAGTTGGAATGGTCCCATAAGTATCATTGAGTCCAACTTTGGGCTCCACAGAGCACCACCCAAAAGTGATGGCCTGGCTTATTCAATGGGAAGAATTCCAGCAGGACAAAAAAAACCCAAACAAACCAAAACAAACAATCCCAACAAACCTGCACTTGGAAAAGTGCTGCTCCATATAGCCCTGCTTCTAAGAGGAGTCATGTAGCTGTTTCAGAGATGTGCCCGAAAACAGTGTTATTAGGAGGGCCAGGGTTTGTTCAGGAGGCTGTGGGATGCAGCCGTTCCTTGGGCACTACAGATATATTTACAGTATTAAAAGGTCAAACAATCCCTTCATTCCCTGTTTGCTTCAGAGAGTTTTGTTGAACATTCTCATTATTCGTTGTGGTATTTCTTTGGTTTAAGAGGATTTCTCTGCACAACCATAGTTATTAGAATGTGGTGTGTGTGCAGTGAATGTGTTATTACTATAACAAGCTTCTCCTCATAGTAGGTATTTTTTCTGAGTGTGAGGCTTTTACTTCAGTTGTGTGTGTGGCAACGCAGACAACATGGGGCAGGTAATGTGGAAAAAAAGATGGAGTAAAATGGGGAAAATACACAAAATTAGTAGTTTAGAGACATGATGACTTCTGCCCCTACCTTTGTTATAGGCTCTGTGCCAACTCTTGCCTTCCCTTTCACAAAAAGGTCAGGAAAATGAGTACTGTACAGCAGGCTGGGGACTTTTAGGAGGGGAACAAATTTTATTCCTCATGCAGTTTTCCCCTAATAGCAGGCAGTGCTTTTGGCCCTGTTAACCTTTACGTGAATTATGCGAAAGCCTCCAGATCTCTAGGTAGTTATTAGGAGACCTGGATCCTCCTATGGGACCCGAGGAAATGGCCACAAGTTGTACCAGAGGAGGTTTAGGTTAGACATAAGGAAGAACTTTTTCTCTCAGAGGGTGGTCAGGCACTGGAATGGCTGCCCAGGCAGGTGGTGGAGTCGCCATCCCTGGCGGTGTTCAAGAGGCGTCTGGATGAGGAGCTATGAGATCTGGTTTAGTGCTTGTGGTAGCAAGGGTAATGGCAGGATGACTCAACTAGATGATCTTGCAGGTCCTTTCCAACCTTGTGATTCTATGATTCTATGATGTTCTTTGTGCTCCTTGTCCAATACACGCATGAAAAGGGATCGCTGGAGAGGGTGACAGCAAAACACAGTGCAGAAATGCAAGATAGGTAAAGGCAATGAGGGCTTTCATAGGCTTGGGAACAGTAGGAACTCTGGCTTTATCAGGTAGCAATAATTAAAGATATTATAATGAAGCCAGGGAATCAAGAGCATTATGTCATGATTTCTACTCTGTATTTTAAAAGCTACAGCATATGGACCTGGATAAGGGTCATTACTTCCATGAAGAGTTAACTAAAGAGTCTGTTAAACATCATCTATTAGGATAACATAAACCTAAGAGTCTTAAGAGAGTTGGCTCAGGAAACGTCTGGCTTTAATGAACCTGGAATTGCTGGTGTTACTACAGAGGACCACAAAGGTCTTAGGTTTTGCCAGTATTACAGAAGAGTGTGACGGTTTTTAGGATAATTATATGCTGAGCAACTTGATGTCAGTGCCTATCAAAATAATGCACAGGAGAGTATGAGACTTGGCTG